AATAATAACGCCTTCACCCTTCAGTGTAATAAAAGTATTAGTTCACATGGGTGAGGCGGGGCACATACCTGAAATTATATAAGTGGTCAGATTAAATTTGAAATTAAATCTTAATTATGAAATATTTGATTGAAATATTTATTTAAAATTTATTAAAGAAAATCAAAATGTTCTAATAAAACAGTCCTTTTTTTTATTTTCTTCTCTTTCCTTTTAAGCCTCCTAATTATGATTCTCTAAGTTAAATTTCTCCTAAAGCTTAAGCATGAGGGGCCATGCGATAAAAAAAAAAGCAACAAATGGAGAGTCGTTACGTGAACCGACAAAGAAACAAGTTCACATGGGTGAGGTGGGGCCTATACCTGAAACCATTAGTTGTCAACGAGCACATGGATTTTGCATAAAGTTGACCGTTACTTCTATAAGACTAAAACTGAAACACACGGGCCCACCTGTCCCCCGGGCTATTTCTTCTAATTCTTTTCCAACAAAAATTTTATTTCAATTTTCACCTTCTTCCATAACATGACCTAAATCTTGAGCACAAGTACAGTTCTAAACTGAGGTTTTGGCTGGCTAGGTGTAGTTGTAGCTATATCTGGCAAAACGGGTTAGACTCGACGAACCAATTCGTCAAATCGGGTGGAGCGGATTGAATTTTTTGACTCATCTCAAAAATGGAGCAGAGCAGGGCGGGCTCATTTTTTGGCGTGTTGATGGCGGGCATAAGCGGGTCGAGATAGATTAGTGTAAAATAGATTCGGACTGACCGGTCAACCTGCCAAACAGGGAGGGGTGAGATGATTTTTCAGCCCACTTTCAAAAGTGGGACGAGCTGAATCATTTTTTGGCGAGTTGATGGCCGCTCCGTCCACTTTGCCACTCTGGTTGTAGCTTCAAATTCGCATCCACAAAACTTGTCGTCCACGTGTACAAAGACTGCCACCATCAAATTTTGGGTAATCCGTTAGAGGCGTTTGGCAGAAGAGATATTTTTTTTTACTATAAAAATATAATTACTACGGAAATAGTGAGAAAATGAATTTGGTAAGAAAATGAGAAAAAAATGTTTGGTAGGGTAAAAAATTATCAAGAAAATTAGTTTAAGTTTTCAAAATCTATGTTTGATTGAAGATAAAATATTGGTGGAAAAATAGGATTCAATTACCACAATGCCCCCTTAGTTATTTGGTTTTCTTGACTATCATTGGGTCCCTCATTAACTTATAGCAAAGAAAATAAAGCTCTTAATGTGTTGCAGGAATTACAATGAAGCTCCTTTTTAGAGAAAAAAAGAGAAAAGAGACTCCACTTGTCATTTTGGTCATAGCAAATGGCTCTCCGTTTTGCTTTCCCAGTTAAATCTCAAATACCACCCTCCATGTGATTTTTTAAAAACATTATTTTTCATCTATTTTTGCAAATGAATTGCAATCGCTAGGGAAACGATTTAGCTGGTAAAATTTGCTAAACTCTTGTACTAAACATGATCAAATAAAAATACCAATGAAAGTTGCCTTGTTATCTATATTAAAACCCCCTACGAAACCCTTCTTGGGGAGTGTTTGGTAAGAGGTAAAAAAAAAAAATCTAGAAAAATGAGGTAGAAAAAATTATTTGCCTATATTTAATAGGAGATGAAATAAAAATATAGCTGAATTTTTTTCATTCTTTGCTTTTTTATATAAAATGGTTGGAGAAGATTACCATTGATAAGGTGGAATTGTTTTTTCCAATGCGGTGAGAAAATTAACATACAACATTATTAAAATTAACTTAACATTTCCAGAAATTTTTTAGCTTACCAAATACCTTTTAGTAACTTATTTAGGAAAAAAAATTTCCCATCATATTTTTAAAAATTATTTTTTCCGGTAAAAATCCTCTATCAAATGTCTCTTAATTTTTTCCAGTAAAAAAATTATTTAGTAACTTAGTGTAAATACAATGATAAAAATGAAAAAGAAATATATATATATATATATATATATATATATATATATATAAAGAAAATGAAAAAAGTGATCTTGTGAGTGAAAGCACCAAATTTTTTATGCTCCTGAAGCAGCGTATTAAATATTTCGGCGTACAGCGTTGCTACTCACTGTTCACAGCCACCACCCAATTCATATACTCCATCTATTTTTTAAAAGAATGATTGTTTTTGGATTCTGTTACATAAAAGAAACGAAAATCATACTTTCTTGTTACAGGAGAGCAGAATTTTTCCTGCACAAATTCGGTTTTTGTGTTAATTAATTATTATTTTTTTAATATAAAATTTGAAATCTATATTTAACTTGTTTTTACTTTTTTTTTCTCTCGTGCTATCTTACAATATAAGAAAACATGAATCCTAAAAGAAAAGCTTATTGTTATATTTAAATTAAGAGACAATGGTTTTTTATATCACATGGGATGGTTTTTCTCCCGCTAACACAACAAGTAAGTGAGCCCCACATGTTTTAATTGGTCTCACTTGCTAATTGTGTCAGTACATAAGAGAAATGTTTTTTCTTAAATTAAACATAAATATTTTAAAAGTATAAAATAACTATTTATTATGTTTATTTTTTCATGCTTACATTATTTATTTATTTTTAATATCTTTAGATCAAAATTTCAATTAATTTTCAATATTTTTTTCTTATCTTGAGATTCTGATATAATAATATTAATAAAGTAGGTATGAAAAATGATATGTATAATATTCTATCCCAATAAGCTAATTTACATTCCCAACTTTATTATACATGTATATATAGTTAACGTTTGAAATAATAATAACTAAATATTATTCTAATTAACGTCATTTATATTACACCATACAATTTAATTCTTGTCCCAAATTATTATTCGTGATGGAGGGTAAGAAGGGGTCACGATCGATTTTTTTAACTCTGAATTTTCTCATCGTAAAAAATAATTGTAGTTATAATTTTGCTTGTGAAATTTATATAAATATTTAATTATGATTATTATTTAAATTTTTTAATTTATATAAAAAAAATTATCGATCATATAAGAATTTACAGAATAAAAATTTCACAAAGATGAATGATGCATGCATGATAGATTGATAGACAAAACGTCATATACCAATCATGTTCAGAGAGGAATTTGTGTATTTCATTCGATTATCTTATTCCATGAGTGAAAAACTTTGATTTTACCGTTACAGTTTTTCTCTTTATTATTTGTTCCGAAAATGACAATCTTCCACGCGATGAGAGTATATTAATTCATAGAGAGGCTTAACTCTCTATATAGGAGTATAAATGAGTTAAGTCAAATTAAGCTTTAGCCTAAATAGGCTATGCCTATAAAAAATAGTTCAAGACTGACTTAGCTTATTAGCTTGATATAATCTTAATTATAAATTTGATTTGACTTATTTTTAAAAAAATACAAGGTTTGCTCAAGCCTACCAAATCTTAAAAAATTGCATATTGCATTCAGTAAATTAATTATAAGTTATGGTTAGTTGGTTACTTTACTTCTTTTGTATGATTAGGTTGATGTAGCCATAACCCAAAACATTGAAAATTTAATTACGTTATTAAAAATAAAATAAAATAAAATAATGGTGCAAAACACTTAATTAAATTTTGAAACAAAGAAATATAGTCACTCACTCATATATTATATAAGCTTACTCAACAAAAAGAAAATTATTACCACCACATAATTCCTTATACATATATAATAATATAGTCACAGAAATAAAAATTAGAAAATAAAAAATCAGAGATTTATTGTATTCATAAGTCGCTAATATATATAATATTGGCTCATTCTCTTAAAACCAAATTCATACCAAGATATTATTAAAAATGATTAAAAATAATAAAATAATTATTTAATTAAAAATAAGGTTAGGTCTAGTAGCTTAGAAGCCCAAACTATTTAAAATGGGCTTATGACCTGGTTTTCAAAAGAGTTTTTAATAAACTCAAATATGTGTTATTTTTAAAACAAGTCAAGTTAAGTTAGGTTAGGATATAGGCTACAAGCCTCTGACAAACTGTATGACTCATTTACACATGTAATTATATATAAACTAGAGAAGGGACCTAATATAACTTTAGTTAATAATATGTTCACTAAATTCACCCATCACGCGATCCAGTCAGATACTAATATTTGTGATGCTAAACTAGATCCAGTATTAATAGATGCTAAAAGTCCAATGCATCATGCTCACAAAATGGACTCATCATATTAATTAAATTAGAATGTTCATTATCCTGATTAATTATAAAATACAAAACTAATTTAATTTTGTTGACATAAGGAAACTATCCAACTTTTCAACATTCTACCATAAATAGGGTGCAATGTTGTCATTTTTGGAATAAGTTATACAGAGAAAAATTTTAACAGTGAAATCAAAATTATTCACTCAGATATAAGATGGTCCAATAAAATATACAAATTTCTCTCTAAATATAATTGATATATGGTGCTTTATCTATATGTATAATTTGATGTTAGTGATATATTTTTTTTCTTAAAATTCTTACATAGCCGCCATGGAGTGTTGTGTTATAACTTACAAACATCATCGTCATTCCTCAATTTGTCTTCTATATATTATTGTACTGTTCGAAAATATTGACAACACTTTTTTTCTCCACGAGTTTCTCTTTTAATTACATTATTTAGATAATATCAACGAATTACATTTGTTTGCAAACAGTAAAAATTAAGCATAAGTAGTAGTATATTCGATTTACTAGGAACCATCCTTACAAAGCAATCAAATTAGAATCACAAGCTTCCGTCAGACACTCTCACATACGTGGAAGAATCGAAGCCGCTCTTTGAATTACACGTGTCATCTTCATTCTGGTCCAACACCCTCGTCGGCCAAACGCGCACCATAATATAAGCGCCCACGTTGCCGAAGAAACAACATCTCTCTCTCTCTCTCTCTCTCTCTCTGAAGGCATAAAGACTAAGATAAAGAGTCGTAACAGGAAATAAGGAAAAGTGGAAAAGTCACACGACCAAACTACCCAACTTTGAACGTTGAAACTGCGCCGTGTGTACCACTGTTTCAGAGCACAATGTCACCAAAAAGTGGCATCCATTCATCGGAATCTGACGACGTTGACTGTAACTTGAAGGAGACTGAGCTCACCCTGAGTCTTCCGGGTACCAAAACTGGCACAAAACGTGGCTTCTCCGACACCGTTGATCTTCATCTCCGAAACTCAAAGAGTACTACTTGTGAAAATTCAGGAAATAACTTCTTGCGCTCCGCCACTAAATTCCCAACACCCAAGTAAGAAGCTAGCTAGCACATTAATTAATTTTTATCTTTCCTTTCCCCGAAATAAATATATATTAAAAAAATGAGAGATGATTAATTATGGTTTTAACTCTTAATTAATTGGGTGTTGATGTGATGTTGCAGGGCACATGTGGTGGGGTGGCCGCCGGTGAGGGAAAGCAGGAAGAATGCGATGAAGAGTTGCAAGTACGTGAAGGTGGCAGTCGATGGAGCTCCATATCTAAGAAAAGTGGATCTTGAAATATATGAGACTTATGAGCATCTACTGAGGGCCTTGGAGACCATGTTTTGTTGCTTAATCATTCGTACGTATTCATCGTATTATTTCTTATATATTCATGGTGCAGGTTATATTTACAAAATTTTTACAAACTACACTAAATATGACCGGTCATACTTTAATCATGCAGCGTATGACCGGTTGTACTTAGTGTAATTTACAAAAAAAATTTGTAAACGAATCCTATCCCTAATACTATATATATATATATATATATTTTATAATTCAAAAGTTACATGAGAATTGAAATCTTATGTTGTAGGATCCAAGTTAGCACGGAAATCAAATGGTGTGTAGAAAGATTTCAATTCTCATGTTGAATGAGAATTATAAAATTCATATATATATATATATATATATATATAGAGGTAGGTTCTTTTGACACCGGTGTCAATTTTGAAGTTTTACATCTCATCTGAGAGCCGTTAGATCCTAAAAGATCAATGGTGTCATATGCTTACAAATCAGAGTCGTTGATCTTTTTGGATCTAACGGCTTTTAGATGAGGTGTCAAATTTCAAATTTGACACCGGTGTCAAAGAATCCTGCCTTTTATATATATATATATATATATATATATATATATATATATATATTACATGGTACAAGTGTATACATTCATACTATCACTTCTCTATTAACATTCGGGTACAGTTATAATATTAAAAATTATTTTTTTATTTTCTTTTTTCAGAAATTTTTCAAAATCTTTTAAAAAATTGTCGACTGCAAAATTTGATTCAAATGTGATTAAAGTTGTAGTGAATTAATAATAAAAAAATTGATAATATAAATATCCTATATCGTATATATAATGACATGCTTCTTCAATATTATTATCACGAGGATAATTCGGTCTTTTTGCGGCCAACCATTGCTGCAGGTAATCATTTGATGATTGAGAGGAAACTCATAGACCCAGGAAATGGGATTGAATATATGCCTACGTATGAGGACAAAGACGGTGACTGGATGTTGGTTGGGGATGTACCTTGGAAGTAAGTTCTATACAGCTTTAACTATTCACCAAATTTATATATTTTGCTCCACGATTTGTTTCCTTTTCTTTTTTAAAAAATAATAATAATAACTCATCTGTTTTTTTGTTCTAGGATGTTTGTTGAATCATGCAAGAGAATAAGGCTTAAGGTTAGCTCAGAGGCCAGTGGCATAGGTTAGTTCATTTAATTTCTTCATTTATTTCTTTCTTTTTGTAACAAAATATCCATTATACAATAAAATTATACGATTATTTTGATTTTGATCCCCCTGACTCCCTGAGTACTAATATTGCAGGTCAGAGGACTACTTCAAAGTTAGCAGAATAAATAGTGTAATTAATGATCATACGTTGATAAACATTTAATAATATTTCATTTCCGATGACACCTTCAAAATGTACTATCTGCAGTTAGACATTAACTTAGGGGCTGTTTGGTATGGGGTAATATAGTGGATGTCCAGGAATTATGAAGTGGGAATTATTTATGCACACATTTGGTAGAAGGAAATCAGAAAATATGACTGGATATAGTTTAATCCCTGGCATCCACTTTACACTATCATTTTTGATTTCTGATTCCCCTTTAGAAGATGGTAATCATGAGTTCCCAGTTTTTGGATATTTTGGGTGCAATTTCTCAGACTATATTACCCTCAAGCCCTAGCTTATCACTTGTGCCACCAGAAACAAATCGTGTCTTGGAAAGGAATGAGGCTCTCGAGCGTAGGTTGACCGAAACTGGGTTGTGGTTCACAGATAAATTATATGAGGACATGTTTACCTGCACAACGAAAATAGAAAAGTTCTTGTATTGATCTCCCTGAAGCTGTATGACCTGCATCCGTACCAAATTGGCGTATAGGCTTTCATTGATAAAAATGATGCACCTAGTGACAGATATGTTAAAAATCACAAAAAATGTGCCAAATCGTCTTGAATAAAAGTTATTCTTAACCAGGGTAATTTTGTCAAATTTCATCATATTCCCAGTAATATTTTATTTTCAACCAAACATCTCTACAGAAAAATTAATTAATATTCTCAGTAATATTTTATCCTACCAAACACATTTTTTGTAAAATACCCAGATACTTTTTATTCCCCCCATATTCCAAGTAATTGTGATTCCAGGATCCAAAAAAATTTCTCTAGTACCAAACGCCCCCTTAGTGTAATGATAGCATATCCTTGGTGCTTGATGGTGTACATGTCCCTTAATTAGCACCTCTAGTTACTTTTGGTTTGGCTTTGAAAGAACTAGAACAAAGACTGATCTCTATATTATGATATTAAAAATAAATAAATAAGGGGAGCTGGCATGTAATGAATATTATGATCATCATTAAGAGAATGTGGAGTAATAGACTTGGCTTTGGCCTGTTGTATCCCATTTCTTGTAGTTGTTAGATATATGCACGGATCAGTAGTGTGATCCACTGCATATTTCACACAATATTTTTGTTCATATCATCATCTTTAATGAAAAACAAAAAAAATCTTTCAAAATGGTATTGTAAGTAAGGAAGCACTTATGTATTTATCATTAAATTTTAGTTGGTCTAGAATGACAACTTTATTTGTTTATTTTAAAGGCAATTTAACTTCAAGAAAAGCATTTGACCACTTCAATAATTATGTAGTGAGTGATATGGTTTATGTATAAATTAAGAATATTTTATAAATTCAGGGTGTGCGTGATAATTTATCTCGCCATGTTTTCAAAGAAAAATAATTTTTTTCAATTTTTTGTGTTTAGGAACGAAGAAGATGATTTTTTCTTATATATATTCTTGGGCTATCGATTTATATTTTGAAACAAAAATAAATTAATTTTATCAAACATAAGTGTTAACCACATTTATATACTGGAAATGATCTTTTGACTCTTGTGTAATAATAAAAAATCTTATTTTTTTTATCTCTGTTGTTGATCTTCGTGAATTAACGGTTGTAATATATTAAATTATATTCAATAATTAATTATTAATTTCTAACAAATTATAGTCATTAGATATATAAAAATCAACATTGAGATGAGAAATGAAATTTTTTATTCTTATAGTAAAATCAATAGATCCCTCCCCTATTTTATATATTAAAAATTAAAAAATTTAAAAAATACTATCATGCGCTCCGTAAATTGCAAAGCATAAAAACAAATCAGATTACGGGTGGAAATTAAATACTCTTGTTGGACTTAAATGCATAACACAGCCTTTACGCTAGGCTATCAATCTATCGGAAAAATTTAGTATATATTGAGTATTAAGTGAAACGATGATATTATAAATATATATTTTGGAAAGTATATAGTTATAATATTAAAATTATTATTTTTTTCTAAAATTGTTGGTTAGAGAGAAAAAAAACTTGAATATTATAATTATATACTCTGTGAAGTACATAATTAATATAGACTATTGCATTGAATATATATTCATAGCAACGGTTAAAATGTTCTCTATTGTTAAAAATTAAAAAATGAAAAGAAAATTTTTACCAAAAAAAAAAATGAAAAGAAAAAAAAAATTTCACCGCTGATTGCTTGAATTTTCATTTTTTTAATCAATAAAATATTGGATAACTAAGTAGAGTTTCTGTGACATCCCTTGATTTTAACTTTTATAAGGAATATTACATGATTCCTTTTTTATATATATGTTTTCTCTTTACACATAATCAGTGAGAAATAAAATCGAAAGGAGTTAATGTTATTAATTAATACATATTAATTTGTTTAATTTTACTATTGATGATAAGAACAGTAAAAAAAAACTATATAAACATCTACCAACATTACTTTATAACTAACATTAAGTCAGGTATATACGGAAATTATTTTACATTGGTCTTACAGTCTACTAAATATTACATCACTTTATATTCTACTGGCATCACATAATTATACAATACAAAAGTCTTAACCTAATCTAGTCTATAGGTGTAGGTCTCCACACTTTCAGCATAGAATATTGCAGAAGTTCCTTGATTTCCTACTACAATATAAAACTCCATGCGGTCCTCGTAAGAGTAAACATTGATACTCCATCCTTCACCTGATAAGCTTAGACTAGGCATTATAATTTTCTGAAAAGGTTAGCACAAAACAAACACACGTGAGAAAATTATCAGTAACATTGAGGTTTTCTAACTATAACAATTTCTAGCCGTAATAACGGAAAATACCATTCTCTTAGATAATTTAATAAAATGAAGTAATATAATAAATAATACATTGTGTAATATTTAACTGAAACTAAATAATTTTCCAACTTTGTGGTTCTCCGCATATGAAAGATTTATTGTGGAGGAGCTCAAACCACGATAAGGCGTCCCTTACCCTATAATCGTCTGAACCCAAACTCTGTGGTTCAGTTCATAGATGTCTTCATCAGTTAAATTTACACATTCTCTTCATAATTAGTTGGTACCAAATAACGACCCAACTTGACAATCAGAAACCAAATTTAAAAGAAAATGAAGGAACTGTAGAAGAGTGAAATCATTGAATAAAACCAAACTACTGTAATAAAATAAATTCAAGGAACATTTAAGCAGAAAAATTTAACAAGACGATAGTAGCATGAAAACTCATCATTGTTTAAAGAATAAGAAAAACGAGAGAATAAGTTTTATCACCCAACGTTACCTTCTGCTTCGTCACTTTCCTCTCTTCTTTTTTATCACTCTTTCTCTTTTTTTTTTTTTTTCTTCTCGCTGTTTTCTTCCTTCTTTTTTCCCGTTATGGATAGCAATATATATATACAAGGAGAGACTTGCTTACGTTTGAATTGTATTTCGTTAGATTTGAACAAGCTAGTTAAATTATAACTAAGTAATCATTACCTTTCAAATGATAATTAACCACGTAATCATCAACATATACGTTTCTAGAAAAATGTTCGTAAGCAGTCATCATGGTGCCTCCACGTTATATGTAATACATTTTATTTACTTTATGTAGTTTATTTATACATATATTCATTTATTTATCAATTATTATATTATTATTATTATTTATTTTATTATTAATATATTATATACATTTATTTTAATATTTAATTACTTATTTTTTTATTATATATATATATATATATATATATATATATACACGTCCATGCTCTTCGCGCCCACTTATTAGAGAGTTGGTGCAAAAGGCGCCACTCTTGGCGTGCCACTTTTGCGTTTTTTTTTTAATATTACAGTTTCCGTTATAGAACCAGACATATTGAAAACCCTCTATAATATTATTCTCCTAAAGGCACATTTATAACTAATTGTAGTCTATATTTGGTGTTAGAAATATATTGTAATTAGAGTTTCTTTATTTTGTAATTAGGGTTTCCTTATTATGTATTAGGTCAGATTACATTAGGTTTGGGCTTAGCCCATTAGTCTGTTTATATATTGTACAGCCTTCATTAGTCAATACATATAATATTATTTCAAATGTTCCTCTCTTCTCTCTTGTTATTTAACATTTGGAAAAAGAGGATGTGGGGAGACTCTACTTGCTTTTACCCAATTCAAAATATATATTTTCCTCTCCTCATCTCTAATTTAAGGAGAGATAATTTTACAACTTTGAAAGGAAAACAAGAGGAGTTCTCTCTCATTTAAGATCTTCGAAGGAAATATTGGAGTTGCTTTTCTAATTCCACTCTTTAATTCTTAAGCTTGTCAGAGAATCAGTATAGTGCTTTGTTTTCCATGAGGATAAAGTATGTTGATATGACGAAAATAAAAGAAACTTATTAGGTTTATATATATATATATAGGGGCAGGATATTCTTACACTGGTGTAAGAGTTAGAAGTTTTACACTCAATCTTGACCATTGATCAACTTGTATCCAATGGCTCACGTTACTAAAAAATTTGAGCCCTTAAATATAAATGAGATCAATGGACAAGATTAAGAGTGTAACTTACACTGGTGTAAAATGATCCTTACCCATATATATATATATATATATATATATATATATATATATATATATATATATTATGGCATTGAGGTTTGAATGTATAATCTTATACAAATTATTCAAATTCTTCGCCATTAGAACAATCTTACTGACTTTGTTAGGTTTATGTTTATCATCATCTTTTCGGGTTCACGAATAAGTGAAATCTATTTATCATCATCTCTGTTGAGGTTTATTGTTGGGCAGTCCTAGAAGGATGACATATACTGAAGATGTGTTAAACGTTAATTAATAATTGAATCCCAATGAAAATTAACTCTTTCTCGGGTGAGCAAATATTATGGGTATTCTTTAACCCATAGTTTTGGTCCAAATAGAGCTTCAAAATTCGGACTATTGAAGCCCATATCGAATCATAATCATGTAGTTAAAAAGATAGTTCAATTTATGAACATTCGCTTCCCCTTCAAAAAAATTTAGCTCCCTAAAAGAGGAATTAA